TACAGGTGAGCTAATGCCAAAAATACAAGATTCACTTTTTCTATCATGACAGAGAGAGCACTATGGTATTGTGAAAATGATTTCATAATGGAATCTATAAGATTCAAGAGTAAAATGAGATGAAATTCGAACACCAACGAATAATATTTCGACAACAAGACCTTTTAAACTCTGGATAAAGGAAGGGATATGCAAACACACAATGTAATATAGGCCTATTTAGTGGCATGACCAGAATACTATTTGATACATCTTACATAGATGGTATACAAAAAAGAAAGAGCCATAAGAAAAAGTGCTTACGCTAGGTCATGTCGAAAGATGAATATACAATGTAAGCCTTGCTGATCAATTTAACAAAATAGAATCGTTACCAATACAAAAGGGAGTACCAAAGATCAGAAGAGCAATCCTTGCAATGACTATCTATAATTATTTGGAACCCAATCATTTGAAACCACCAAATGCAGTATAAATGCATGAATTAAAAGCCAAAGTGGTACGGAAGGATGTTCCATGGACCAAAAGGAGGAAAATATCTTACTTTTCTAGCTTTATGAAAGTCAAATGTCTTAATGGTTTCCTCGTTACTAAAACTGGTCCCGACAAATTGACAGGTATTTGTATTCACTGCACTAAACAAATAGGTAAATTGACTTCGTGGTTCATGAACATGTAAGGTAAAACCCGTTAATTACCCAACACCGTGATGTCAAAGGGTAGAATTCTAACTACGAGCAAAGATCGCGTTGCCAAATTTCTATTGATATAAAAAATGGTGTCGGATCCTGATGTAAGGTATGATACAACTGCTTTTGAACTTATCTCACAACTTTAGGTCAGGTGGAAACAAAGCCCATCTAGGAAAATAATGCTGCGATAGGTATTATGATTGGGTCATGTGGATCTATGTACTAAAAATCAAGTTTGGGGGGGGGGGGGGGGGGGCTTTTTTTTTATATGTTTTATTTTTTTTAATCCTCATTAAATTCTTATAATCTTAAGGAATTTGAGGTATGTGTTGTAAATTTAAAGTTATTACAAATTTTGAATAGAGAAAAACATAGAATTTTTTACCTTTGATTCTATGTAAATAAGTCTAAACTAGAGTTTAGTTAACTAGTCGTTTAATCTGATGAAGAATTGGTTTCACTATTTATTTTTGTAAAGAGTTATATATTTGTAAATTAGGTATCCTTAGATATACACTTCAAAAGAATTAGGTCTCTATTTTCTAAAATTACACTTATTACATTTATTACATTTGTCTTTTGAAAAATTTCAAAAAAAAAGTGGAAGAATGTGATAGGTTTCACTTTCAAAAGTTAATAGTGATATTCAAAACCACAAAGATCTATCCAGATATAGTAACCCTTCTTTAAATTAATTCTAAGGATTACAAAAAAAATGAGATCCTAAAGCAAGAAAAGATAAGGAAAAAAAATGTGTTATCAAAAGAAAGAATTAAAGAGAGAAAAAGTTTGAGGAGAAGCCTAATAAAAAATTGATTTTACTAGATGCTTTTTAAAGTTGAAACTGTATTACATTCATAAGCTCATCTAAATCCAAAGTATATATGTAAGTTTTTCTTTTTAAAATGGGGTGCTCAGATTCAGTTTTTTTTATCTTCTATGGTACTCAAATTCTCTTTTACATATGTAATTTTTCTTTTTAAAATTTCTAAGGTGTTCAAACTGCATCAAACATTAGTTCAAATGGTTTCCCTTAATCATGTGAAAAAATAATATGAGTAATGATTAATTTCTCTTTAAGAGTATTAAACGCATTTAGGCATTCATGGTCAAAATTAAATAGGACATCCTTTTCTTTGAGACGACATAGAGGTTTGGCAATTTTAGAAAAATTGTTTATATTTTGATTAAAGAATATTTTTTTTCTCTTTTTCTCTTTTTTCCACCGATATATCCTTGTAAGAATGATATTTTACTCAAAACAATTATATTACTTGAATGATATGAACACTTGCATGAATTGGGCATAAACCTAGCCATAAGTGCGACTTGGAAGAGCTTTATAAAACTTAATTTGTGTATATGAGCTTGTTCAACCAAGTGGTGCAGTAAATTGACCTTGAATTAAGATAATGTAAAAGTTTCTCTGGTTACTTAGAGGGTGAAGTACTTTGGATGTGGTTTTAAAGATCACAGTGGAAACATATTTTAGGTGAAGATAACAAGTGCATGTAGGTTAAGTTAGTGCCAAACTGCATTATAATGTAATTATGTTTAAAATTTCTCTATAGGTGTATATTTATTCCAATTTCATATTTCATTTAACTTCGCATTATCTAAATATTGATATTGACATCCTTGTGCTAAAAATCATATGTTATTATGGATGAGTAAATCATTTAATAATGAGCTTATTATTTTATTATTTTCACATCTAGCATTATGTCTTTACACCGCCGTAGTTACAATTCATTATTGAACCCTAAGGTTGCTTTGATTTTTAGGTTTTAAGCATCATCACAATTGCAGCTGATTTTTCATTTCCATTGAGCCAACTAATAACATATTCACTCACTTGTTAGCTGTTTGAGTAACACATTTGTTCACATGCATGATCTCAAGAGTGTAGGATTGAACTCATAGATTATAAGTGTGTGCATTATAGTATTCATGAGTGTAATATCAACTAGATTATATGTAGCACTTGTACACTAATTCACACTAGGTATTCTCATATTATGTTTCTTACTTTCGACATTTGTACACGTGAGTGTATGTGTGTGGCTTTAGTTTATTGATTTACGAAAGATTTTCTAGCTTCAACTATATTATTTGTGATTTCTGTATTGATAAAAATTTAAAGGAAACATAGACTGCTAGTACATATTCAACTCAATCCCCTTCTCTTACTGTGCCCAAGACTTAAAAATTTAATTGTCTTGTATCTATTTTGGTGCCAAGAGATACACTTGTTGGATATATATTGCATATGTATCTATTTTGGTGCCTGTCGGCACTATTTTTGGTGTGGGGTTTGCCCGTAAGATTTGTACCGATTTAATAGCATCAACATTCTCTACCTAATTTACACTTAAAATTGGTATGCAAATCTTAATCAACTGAAAAACATATATAAGTGACAATTAAAATAGTAAACCTAATTTAAATGTTATGCTTTATATATATTTTTTGGTTTTAATATTCTTGACTTATATGTTTCGTGACTTTATGTTCTGTCCTAGCAGTTTATGAATTTGAATTACACATTAAAAAGAAATCTTAAATTTTATTTGCATAAATATGAATCCACCCATATATGTTTTGTGATTAATTCTTATTTTATACAATTTATTTAATGAACCCTCATATCCCCCAATTGATAAAATGATTTATATTCAATTCAAAATAAATTTTAAATTTTAATGTTTAATATGCCATTTAAAATAGTATTCAAATTTTCTCTCAAAATGTTTTTAAATTTACATGTCATTTTTAAAATGTTATGTTCATTGGGAGAACATAACATGATTCTTAGTATTCATAGTGAATGATACATATTGATTAAAATAAAAGAGAGAGGATTACGATATTAGTTTATAACTAAAGCAATCTCAGACAACACACATATTTTGTGAGATAAAAAATTTTCTTATGTATATAGTGAGGAAGATTTTAATTTTATAGAATTACTGTTTTGCATTATCCTTTCAAAGTAACATCATTCTGCAACATAAAATATGAGAGATCATTGAGCCTCTAAGCCATTGTTTATGCATGCACACTAACTATTTGATAATGACTTTGCTTGTGTGGTGACAACTAACAGTGAAGACTTAAGCAATAATGTAGGTTAGTTGTGCATAACAACCCAAAATTTCTTTTGTCAATTTGCTCTCTATAGTTAATTAGATTATCTATTTCATATTTGCTAGTCTGTTTTATGTTTCTTTGGTGATTCACATGCTATTGCACTTGTCTGCATTTAGTGTGCATGTTTAATTAATAAATTATTTGTCTTCATATATATATATATATATATATACTTATGCATGGAAATGTTTATTTCATTTTTTAAAGTTAAAATAGCTGTATTTTCTTATGTGATATGCAAGTTGGTGTGGTAGAAACGTGAAAAATTTTGGGAGCTAGATATGTAAATACATAATAATTGACAGGTATTTATGTAAATTTCCCAAATAATTTTGTATTTCCAAAGTTGCATTTTTCCCTCAGCTTGCAATAATTGTTGCAAAGTAGCAGTCGATTCACTTAATATAAAAGCCTATATTAGTTAATTTCATGATTTTTGGTACAAGATCATAGGGGCTAATAAATTATTTTATTAACATAATTATAACCGTACGGCTCATTTGTTTGATACCTATAATGAGATGCAATTTAGATAGGGTACAACCGCAAAAGACAGTTTAATGCGTCAAACATTGATATAACTACAATATATATTTGGAATATATGAACATGTTGCGGCTGTTTCGAAGAAGCACGCTCATATCATTTGTATCGCTCCGTAGAAATTTGTTCCACGAAATTATAATTTGCAAACTCATATCATTGAAATTCGCCTTAGAGAAATGGTTAAGGCTTCTTCCATGTACCATGCTAATCATGAAAATGGCTTCTTTGCTACGAAAAATTATTGCAGACGGACACCGCATGCAGAGATGCATGCGATGTTCGATTTACATAGTAGATCACGGTGATCTACGGTGAGGATGCAATCAATTTTTTTTTTAAAAAAAATAAAGTGGGGCCTACCAAAATGCATCATCACCGTAGATCTACAGATCGAACACCACATGCATCTTTGCATGTGGTGTCCGTATGCAATAATTTTTCCTTTGCTACATGTCAAAGAGATTGGGTACATCAAGCCCTCATCAAATCACTCTTTGTGCAATAATTTATTTTTTTTTTGATACAAACTTGTGATTTATGAAACATTTGAAAAGGCGAGCACCCTGTCATCATAGCTTATCACTACAACCTATGTGACTAACTATGACATACTTGGTCCACAGCTTGTGCAACTCTTAGATCCGGCCTCTCAGCTCCAGCTTTTGCAGCCTACATACGTTATGATAGCTCACCAACACGACCAACTACGACTTACGTGGTCCACAACTCATGAGGCTCTCGACTCCAGCCGACATACTACCATAGACTATGTGACCAACCACGGTCAACGTGGTTTACAACTCGTGCAGCTTCTAACTCTGGTATCTACGACCTACAAACATCATATAACTCACCACTATGACCTACAAAGTAAACTATGATTTACGTGACTCACAACTCATGCAACTATCGACTCCAGCCACTGCAGCCTACAAACATCATCACAGCTTACCACTATGGCTTATGTGGCTTACAACTCATGCATCCCTTGACTCCGACCTTTGAGGCTTACAAACATCATTATAGTTTACCACTATGACCTAAGTGATCATCTATGACTTAGGTGACTCACAACTCGTGAAGTTTGCTACTTAGGTTTCTGTGGTCTCCGAATCTAATCATAGCTCACCACTACTCTCTACCTGCTTCATAGCTTATGTAGCTCCCAATTTTGGCCTCTTATGCCTATGGATATTATCATGCATCACCATTACGACTTACGTAACCAACTACATCCTTCATGTATCACAATAGGTGCAGCTTTGGACTTCGGCCCTTGCTGCCTACGAACATTATCACAGCTCACCACTATGACCTACTTGACTCACAACTTCTGAAGTTTCTTACCACGACTTTTGTGACCAACTGACACTTTTGAAAAAACCAATTGCGACACATATAACCAACTCCTATCATTGATTTTAAGTAAGACCTAAACGATAAGCGGGTGCTAAAGCCACCATCTTAGACATTCACAACAGACTATTGTTTCCACAGCAATCGACTACGACCCTTGCAATGAGCTATCACCGAGACTTACATTTATTACAACCAGACTATAACTATTGTCGATCCACTACTATTATACATTTACAACTTTGTTACTTCATCCTCCCTAATTCAAAAGAAGAGTGAATAAATATACTCATCATTCATAGTGGATTGTTTCAATTGGGCTAAGTCCCATGGTTTTTTCCTTTTCAGGTTTTCACATAAAAATTGAGGTGTCTCCTCCTGCTCACTTTTCTTTAATTATCTGAGTGTGCGATGGGCTTTTGTGCAACAATAAAACAATAATTCGTTACTCTACCATTGCTGAACTTTCTATCATGCATCAAATATATTAATTACGATTTCTTTTAGCCGTCGTATATACATCAAGAAGGCAAAATTTATGACTTTATTTGGAGATCATTCTATAGTTTTTATTATATATCTATTAATTAGAATCTATGTAATTATAATTTAATGCATACTTTCTCCTTGTAAGGGGCCAATCAAATCTCTATAAGTTCTAATAAAAAAAATTTGATTTTCTTGAAAGATTTGTGTTCACTCCATGAACATTTTTAATCAAAATTTGTAAGTGAAGTTTGGGATAGAAACTTAATTCAAATTTTATTTTTCAAAGTTTGGAGTATAAATATAATAGATGCATGCTAGAATATTTGCAGAGGTAGAGTAATAATTATCGTTTTATTGTGGTACGATAATTCATCACACACTAAAAAAAAAAGAAAACAATTATTAGTGACACCAGAGGTTTTTACGTTGAAAACCCATAAAGGGAAAAACCACAGGCCAGTGCGGTTATACGACTGTTCAAGTGTTGCACCTCCTTGTTGTTCCTTGGGGGCACCATGTCTCTCAGCGTTTTGATTTTTTCTAGGTTTTTCTCAATTCCACAATGATCAACCATGAATCCTGGGAACTTCCCCTATGTGACTCTGAAGGCGCATTTAGTCAGTTTGAGGCGCATAGTGTTTTGACGTGGAATTCAAAAACATTCCTTCAGATGAAAGATGTGTTGGGATGCTTCCAACCTTTCTACCAACTTATCATCAACATACACCTCCATCGTATGCCTGAGAAGGTCGTTGAAGACCTTATTCATGAAGCGTTGATAGGTTGCACCGACATTCTTCAACTCAAATAACATAACTTGGTAGCAATGCAGACCCTTATCTGTTTGCTAGGAGACAACTTCCTCATCTTTCAGGTTCATCTTTTTCTGGTTGTAACCCGAGTATTTATCCACGAAACTAAGCATCTGACATCTGAACGTGGCATCAATGAGTTGATCTATTTGTGGGTGGGGAAAGCTATCTTTCAGGCAAACCTTGTTGAGGTTGGTGCAGTCAACACACATCTTTCATGAACTACCGGCTTTTTTAAACATGATGACATTTGCCAGCCACGAGGGGTGGTCACTTCTCGTATGAACTTTGCCTCCAAAAACTTGTTGACTTTCTGTTCGATGACTTGTAACGAATCAAAGGCAAAGTTGTGCTAGAAGATCGGTTTAAAGGTCGGATCTGCCTTTAAAGAGTGTATTATTATTCCTGGGTCAACTCCAAGCATGTCGACTGGGGTTCATGTGAAATATCTTGGTTCCTCAGAAGGAGATCTACATATTTCGACCCCTGCTCATTGGAGAGAGGGGAACCAAGCTGCACCATTTGTGAGGGTTGAAGCGGGTTGAATCAATTCCCTTGTCAATCTCAAGCTAAGAAAAGTAGCGTAGAGCAAGACGTTGACAGAGCTGCCAATTTTTTTCAAGATCTTATTCACGTTGTAGCAGGGATCGCCAATTCCTGCTCTAATAGCAAGAGGATCTTGATGAGGGACTTAGACTACTTCCAGGTCAGAATGATCGAAAATGATAAGCTCAAAGCATAATTTCTTATGCACTAGTTCTCCAAGTGTACTGCTAAGGACTTTATCGGTCAGCAACGGGCCTCCAACAATCTTCTAAAATTTTCCCTCCACTTCGTGATTTCCATGTTGTTAATTTTGTGTTTGTTGCCCCCAGTGGGAGCGTTATCAGCACCAGCTGGTTCATTTTGCACAAATCGGCTAAGATATCCCTGTCGAACCAACTTTTCAATCTATTTCTTGAGCTGCTTAAATGCCTCGATGGTGTGGCTACGAATTCGATGGAAATGGTAGTATTTTTCTAGATTCCCCAAGTTAGGTTTCAAAGGGTAAAACCACTTAACACTTCCTTCTTCATTGATGGCCATCAAGGCATGAACACATGAGGTGTTACGTGGTGTATACTCTTTCTTGGATTGATGTTCGCTTTGCTGGTTTTCAGGTCAAAGAGAAAGGTTGTGATTCCCCTATTGTTTGAACTTTCTCGGCTGCAAGGTTTGATTGGTGTCCCCGACATTATTTCTGCACTTTCCCTCAAATTGCTTAAATTTCTCTTTGTATGCATTGATGACATTGTCTGCAGTGATTTTGGCCTCAATACATTGGACCAGATCGGTGTAATAAATGGATTGTATCTAGTGTTAATGATGAGTAGAAATGTTATGAGTGGAGTCCCCCATGGAAGACCCCTCTCAACAATTCAAGATCCACCCTTGAGATCGGACTAGCTTCAGTGGAGAACCTGCGAAAGTAGTCCTTGAGTGACTCTCCCTCATTCTAACGAATTCCCGAGAGATTGGAGGAATCTTTGATGATCCTTTAGAGCTAATTAAATGTTTTAATAGTGCCCTTTGGGAAGGAGTAGAACCAGGTGCAAGCTTTCCCCTTAAGGTGACTGGGAATACTTGGCACAAAAGTGCATCAAACACATATTAAATGTGCATGATGGTTTGGTAGTAATCAACGTGCTCGTAGGGGTCAATTACCCCTTCATAGGTCTAGATGTTCGGAAGTTTGAAGCCCACTGTGATAGGATGTTGGAGGATCGTCTCCACAAAAGGAGAGGATTCTTGGAAGTTACAGTGAGTAGGGAAGCGATCCTTTTCTCCAGGAGGACTCTTCCCTGATGAGGGATGACAGCAAAGCTAGGCAATTCCAAGTGAGTTGCACGAGATTGATAAGTGGAACTGGAGGTATCCAAGAGGTCAGCATCACGTCCCAATAGGGAAAATGTTCCCTCTCGGGAAGGGGGTTGGTACGAGAACTTTCTAGCGGCACATTTCTTGTTTGCCACTGTATTAGTAGTAAACGAACTCCAACTAATGGTTTGGGCAGCTTTTTTTTTAGCCTGGCATATGAGCTATAGGATCTCTAATTGAGACTCCTTTATTCTACACATTCTGTCTTCCAGAAGAGAACCTGAGACACCTTTGTCAGCCAGAAGATGTCTTTCAGGGTGTGAAGATGAAGATGCATGCTGCTCCTAAATCCGTGACAACGCTCTGGAATGATAAGTGTTGGAGTGTGATGCTCCATCGTCACAAGCATTGAGTCTGGTGGCCATGTTGTGAGTCTCAGAAGTACTTTAGTGGGGAGATTGCAGATTCCTCATAGATGACTCCAAACTATTGTGTTCTTGCAAATTCGCTTCAATAGACTAATATATTATCGTCTTAGCGTTCTATGAAGATACAAAACATACTCATAAGAGAGAAATTAAGTAGTAGTGATATCAGAAGTTTTTACGTGAAAATACTATAAAGAGAAAAACCACTGGGCCGCCCAGGTGAATGATTCTATTTTAAAACGATGATTACACATTCAATCGCTTGTCCGATGCACCAGAAATGTTACTAAGTCTCCCAAGTTATAATTTTGACTTGTGGTGAACTTGTTGCAAGTAACAGGTTGTGACCGATAGCGATCAGTCGCGACCGGCAGGTGGTGGTCGACGACGATCTACGGTGGTCGACGGTGATCGACAAATGATGGTTGCGGCGGTTGTCGGCGGACGACGATGACAGGAGTAGTGTTGAACTTCAACTCCTTCATTCTCTTCCTCAAGCCTCTAGCTCTCTCCCCCTCATAAGAGGTGTGGGGCTCTATTTGATCGGACGGTCCAAAGAACTTCCTTCAATCAGACGGTATTTGATGGACATTTAAGTTTCTTAACGTTGTCAAAATTAAGCGGTCTTAGGCTCGTTAGATTTGTCTAGTCGAAACGCTCGATTCAACTATAAACTCGCCAAATTTAACATCTATTTGACGTTCCACATATGTTCAAAAAACTTCCAAATATTGTTTAATAGCTTGATCAATGCTCAATTTGCTTCAAATTAGATCAATGTTGGCAATATTTTGACTATAAGTTTTCTAAAATCAAAGCACCGCATGATTTTTAATCAAAATTTAAATATTTTTCTCTAAAATATTATCTCAAGATTCGTGTCATACTGAATGTCGACATATCAATAATTTTCATAATTAGAAGTAAATAATTATCGAGAAATTATAAATTATTAAACTACAATGAAATTGGTGAACTAAACTGACCATCTCCTTCCATCCATTATACAAACCGCTCCTACGCTGCATGCTGACGGAAGAAAACTGTATTTTTTGCAAACCCATCGTCGTCAACGCGTTGCATGCAAAATAAATAAATATTTTGCTGATACAAAATTTAATTAAATGTACAACTCTTCAGTTCCATCCCATTCGGGAAATTTTTTTTGTTTATTTAATAATAATCATTATATCATTAAAATAAGCTTAATAATAATACGCGAAGTTACAGCTCATCCACACTAGAATTAATAAATGATATTTTTTAGGGACTCTTTGATTTTCAGGAAATGAAATGCAATATAAAAAACTTGTGGATTTTTGGCATTATAGTTTATTTAAAATATTTTAAAATTATTTGGTTAATTTTTAATTAAATATAAAATTTTATATTTTTTTTATTTAGTTTGAAGTAGATTGAAAATAATGCTTTTTGAAATACGTATTTTTGTCCGAAGAAGTCGAGGGGACGACGGCAGTAGGATAATGGGCGACACAATGAAAAGCTGATGACTGTGGTGGGAGGCCGGCGGGTGGCAGGCGGCTAGTGGCATGAGGTGGCTGATGGCAGCCGGCGACGCCTGACAGTCAAGCGATTTGGGCGGGCGGCCGACAATGGCTGCAGTGGCAAATTGAGGAGGGACGGCGGACGGTCAGTGGCGGCAGGCGGCGTTAGCTGATGCCGACGGTAGGGGCGGGCAGGGGTGAGGGTGGTGCCTTGCCTATAGTATTTTACATGAATGTATGATTCAAATTCAATCAAGTCCATTGAATTCTAAATTCACTCAAAATAAATTAATATAAATTTCAAATGCCTATAGCAGTAGATAATTACTTAGACGTCCTTGTTGAGTTGTCTTAGATCACCCATAATGGTGAATAAAATCTAGCTATTAATGAGACTTATATAGAAGAAGGAATTAAGCCTAGGATGTCTCTATACAATAGACATAGTTATCTAGATCTATCATTGATCTCCTTATTAGTATACTTTTTTCTTATAGAGGTAATATGGAAATTTGACCTTAATATAGGGAAACTAGTGGTTTTAAAGGGATCGAGTAGCATAAAGATCTTCCATTATTATACAAACATATTGTTGATGATTTGTCATATAATATGTAGAAAAACAGTTGTTACTTTTTATAAAAATTGAATATTATTATGTGCTAGAACGTTGGTAGTTATAAAGGAAGAGTTTAACATCTAAGAGTTCAACAAAAATGTCTCAAACACATCAATAAATAATGTATAATATGGAGGAGGTGCTTGATTTGTTTTGTGAATAATCAAGGCTCAAACCATGAAGTTTGACTCAATTGAAAAATATATAAAGAGATTACATAGATTTATATTTTCACACAAGAAGAAACAAAACTACAAGACTTGAATTACAAATGATATCACCTACAATAGTAATAAAGTGCACTGTAAGGTGGTGGAGTTTGCATAATGGATGGTAAAAATCATGTATGCAAGCCTCAATTGACAGATGGTAATTTAGGATGGGCGATAACACATAAACCATTGTAAACAACAATCCAATCAAGGGGTACAATACAAAACCATGTTGATTATCAACAATCATTAATGCCATGCAACTATGGATGAAAAATAGTATATGTTAGAATCAATCAATTACAAAGTAAAAATGGGCGATAATAAATAGAGCTATTAAGTTCTATGAATCTAAAATTTCAAATCACCATATAAAAAAAATGTAATACATTTATAAATTTTTGAAGAGATGCCTATTGGTTTCTATCATATTCTCAGACGATTTAGTGGATGATTTAGAAAGGTACACACATACACGCACACACACAGATTTCTTGTGTAGAATACAGAGACAGAGAGAGAGAGAGTTTTCTTGTGTAGAATATGCATGATTGAACTCAATTTTAATTTTTTTTTTGCCCAAAACTTTCATTTTTTTAGTGTAAAATTAACATCAAAATTTCTACTTAATTAGACACATTTTCTACTGACATATTAAAACTCATGTTTATTTCTTGTTTCACTCAAATCTTTATATATATATATATATACTAAACACATGAGCCTTCTGATTTTGGCATGATATATTTAGTGAAACGAAGGATTCCTATGCTTTCAATGTTTATTGCCCTAAATCATATAAAATATAATTTGTCCTTGGTGAATGTCTTTTCCTAGTTGAATCTCTCCAGCAAGAAGTTATTGGAATGTCGGACCCCCTTCACATTTCATGTAATTTCAAATTTGCAGAGCCATTTTTTGTTTATTTATCATGGCTTCAAGCTCAATAAACTCCACCTCCCTTGTTAAAGACATGATGAACAGCCTGTAAAACTATTTTATATATCTCTGCATAAAATATTTTGCTTGCTATTTGAAAATAATAATAATAATAATAATAATAAATTCACCTGCCAAATAACTTTAATTCACGTGCTGTCACAAGTTCATGAAGTGGGTTATGTCATTTACATAAATGCCAGTCAATTCTTATATATTCATATATCTTACACCTAAACATTTATTTTTACATTTATACCAGCCAATTCTCGCTCTCTCTCTCTCTCTCTCTATATATAGGTAAGGTGGCACATATGTAATATTTGAAGTTTAAGTGTACGTTAGATATGTGAATACATAAGAATTGAGAGGTATGCATGTAAATCTTCCTAAGATTTTAAAGAATAACCACACTTAAAAAGTTAATTATTAATTTTTATTCATATGTTCTAAAATTTTGACGAAGATAACATATTTAGCAATAACATATTTAGCAACACCTTTTATCTCCACTCAAATGATCATTAAAAAAAAAACAAAAGTACTCTTTATTTGATTTATAAACAACAACGAGTGTTGCAGGCAGGAAGATTTATGGTGGTAAAATAATAATTTAGCATATAAGAGTAGGACGAATATCCAACACAAACACAGATAAAAGAGAAGTACTACGCCTCGATTTCTTACGTGAAAACTCTTCGAGAAGGAAAAAATCATGAAACCTAGCTTAGTTAAAATAATTCACCATGTAATTGTAATTACATATGTCAACTCTCATCTTGAATTAGAGAATATGAAATTAAAATATTGATGTAGAATGATAGTTCAGTAATAATAGTTGTAACGGGTCGCAAATGTTATAGTTGATTGCTATGAAAGTTGTAGTTTGCTATGAATGTCACAGACATTAGTTGTAGCCCCAACTGATTGTAAAAGTCATAGTTGAAAGTTGTGGTAGTAGTTGGCCATATAGGCCATAGATGGTTATTTTAGGAGCGTCGGTTGGCCGCAGAGACTGGAGTTGGGAACTACATAAGTTGTAGACCACATAAGTCATAGTTGGTCATGTAGGCTATAATGGTGAGTCGTAATAATATTTATAGGCCTTCAAGTCTGGAGTTGGGAGTGACATGAACTATGAACTATGTAGGTGAGTAGTTGGTCTCGTAGGTTTAGTGGAGAGTTGCAGTAGCATCTATAGGCTGCGGACGCCAGAGTTAAAAGCTACATGAGTTGTGGACCAATTAGGTCGTGGTTGGTCCTATAAGTCATACTAGTGAGTTGTAATAACATTTGTAAACTACAGAGATTGGAATCGGGAGCTACATGAGTTGTGGACTACATAAGTTGTAGTTGTGGTGAGCTTCAATAACATCCATAGGGCACAAAGAACAAGGTTAAGGTTAAAATTTGCATGAGCTGTGAACCATGTAGGTTCTAGTTGGTCACATAGGCCATAATAGTGAGCTATAATAACGTCCATAAGCCACGAAGGCTAGAGTTGAGGGTTGCATGAGTTGTGGACCAAGTAGAACGTATTTGGTCACATTGGTTATAACGGCGAGCTGTAATAATACAGTAGGTCACAAAAGATGAAGTTGGGGGTAGCATAAGTTGTGGATCACGTAGGTTGTAGTTAGTTAATAAACTATAATGGAGAAATGTGAAGATAGAACTTCAGAATTTAGGAGAAAGTTATCTTATTCTGATTAGATAATTGTAAGCAATTATTGTAGGGGGTTATCTTCGGACCTATGATATGGTGTTATTCATGATCACATATTAAGAGTATGTCTTTAAACTAAATATAGGGTACATTGTTTCACCATTTTTGGGATGAGTCATTTTACCATTTTTAGGTTGTTTTGTGGCACCGTGTGCAGAGTGCACCATTGAACCACATTCAGGGTGCATCGTTGCATCTTATTTGAAATGTACTATTGCATTATATTTGAGGCATTTCGTTGCATTATATTTAGGATGCATTATTACACTACCTTTAAGGTGCATCATTGCACCATTTTTGGGGTGCATTACACCATATTTGGTGTTTTCATGAGGATATTTGGGGTGCAATATTCAGGGTGCATCATTGCACCATTTTTAGGGTGCATTACACTACTTTCAATGGGTTTACTAACCATACTACGGAACTAATGTTGATCTTAAGGACACACATTTCATCTTGGTGTCTAAATATCCTCCCTTTGGCTCGGTCAGGGGGTCCAACTGAAATTGATTTGTGGGAGCAAACGTTTGATGATGAGGAGGATGTTATAATGAATTAGTGTCATTATTCTACTGAATTGTTACAACTTTTATGTCAGTGTGTACGGGTCTTCATAACATTTCAATCTTCTAATGTGACATTTTTACACGATGATAAAGTATTTATCAGTACATCTTTATTTTATTTGATATTATGATATTGCATATATACATACATCGCTGGTCTTGTTTAAAGTAGTAGAAAATTATTGACATTGTTTTTAAAGCTATTTTTTTCTTATCCTTCTGAACTGTGCTTGCCCCATCTCCTGTACTACTATAGAATGTTGTCATCGAACTTCTGGGTAAGTATTGCACCACCTTTATATTATGAACATTGCGGCATCAAACTCTTTTGTAGCTTATTTCTTATGGAATTCTTTGGCTTCTCAAATATGTAGAAGACTGCATTAAAAGTTAAACACATGTACTTTATATAAAGAAGAACTATGTACCTTTTGAGGCTTGTGCCTTTTAAGATTTTTAATGCACTTGTACATTGTGAGAGTTGTAGCATTTGA